CCGCCGAGCCGCCTGTCCCGACCACTTTCATCCCTGAGTAATAGGACCGCAAGTGTCTTTATTCCCTGGCGATTTAAACTCCGGCATCCGTCTGTTACGGGTTTATTTACACTGGTGGTCTTGATGTGACCGGGGAAAGAAGAAAGAAAGAGAGAAAGAAAAAAAGCTGCACATTATGGGCTGACCACGTGGGAGACTGAGGCCATTTTTCATCTTGGAACTGGAAAAAAAAAATTATCCTTCCTGTATCCGTTTCTGCGAAGCGTTTTCGGCGTGCGAGTTCACAGCCGTCGGGGCCAAGAAGTCGAGCCGAGCGCGGTCGGGCTGCTCGAATCGCCTCGAGTATTTCTTCTTCGCGGATGTAAGATTTGTTGATAAATGATTTGCTTTTTGTATTTATATTGCGCCCGGTGTTGCGCTTAAGGTCAGAATTCGTCCGTGATCCTGTGATATATATGACGTGGCGGGAAGATCCTTGGGACGTGATTTTTCGCTGTTGCTCCCTGGCTGCGGCTGTGGAGAGAGAGAGAGAGTGAGGCGCCTCTGGTGGTGTTTCGCGAGCAGGGGTCGGAGAAATGTTTCGTGGGGCATAGTCGGCCCCTTTTTTTCCTCGCGTGTATGCCTATCTATCTGTCTATCTTTTTTATGTATCCTCTCTCTCTCTCTCTCTCTCTCTCTCTCTCTCTCTCTCTCTCTCTCTCTCTCTCTCTCTCTCTCTCTCTCTCTCTCTCTCTCTTTCTCTTTCTTTCTTTCTCTTCTCTTTTCTTATCTTTATATTGCTATCTTACTATATAATTCATTTATTTATTATCCATGAATCTTCGTATATGCGTGCAAACGTTTGTTCCATGTGGTCGCACTTCGCGTAACGTTACCAGCAAGACAGACTGACAGCTATACATAAGTTGCAATGGCGAGCGAGAAAATGGAACTGACCTCACGGGGATCGAGGCCGAACTCCTTCCTGGCAACCAGCGCTGAAGAATCCTATGCCGAGGGCTGATGACAGCGCCATGATAGCGTATCCTGAGCGAAGGCTAACCCTTGAGCATGGGCCGGGATATGGATCTGTCCGCGCCACGGTAACGGTTTTTTATTATCTAATAAAAAGGGATCCTGCCTTTTCTTTGGGCGTGCGGGCGAGGGATGCGGCGGGGGCTGGCAGTGGGCGGGAGTGTGAAGGAAGACGTTCTCAGCTGCTAGAAATGTTTCTCTTTGCTGGGATTGTTCATTTTTATTTTTATTTTTTATTCGTGCTGTTTTGAGACTTTATGGTGAATATATTTGCAATTTGTATTCAGTATTTGTTGAAAAGTTGAAAAGGGAAGACAGTCTAACTATATTGATAGCATAATTATGATTAATGATATTGCCTGTGAATATTTTTACTGCTATAACAAAAATCGACAAACGGTGATATGCCATCGATCATTGACATACCTCCTCTAGTTCGCTAATTCGCTCTCCGCATGGCAAGGACATCATCATGAGGTAGTTGAGTCCTCTAGACGCAAATGAGATCCTATGAGGCAAGTGAGTCTCCATGCGGCAGATAAGCGCCAATGAGGAATAACGTGAGTCACGAAGTGTATGAAGTCCTCGTGGCGGGATTATCGGGCCCGCGAGAGCGTCCCGCGACCTGCCGAAGGCTCAGTCGGGGACGGCTCCGGCGGGCCAGCAGGTAATCAGGGGTTTTGGCGGAGGTGCCCCCCCTCCCCTCCCCACGTGCCTGTTAGCCTCGGTGGCGGCCTCGGTGGCGGCTCAGCATATAAATGGATTCATTGTAGGTAATTACAGTCATAACATTACAGAGCAGGCGTTTAGTGTTTATGGCGCCATTCTTTAGGTAAACATTACGGTATTTTTAATTTGTAAACAGCCGTTGTAATGGTACGCTTAGAAGAGACAAATTGCGGAGGGGTTCGGTTCTAATGTATTCGGCGCATCTTTTCCTTCTTTAGGCGCGGTTGTTTGCCGGCGCGAGTCTAGCACTTGGGTTGGGGGTGGAAATTGCTTTGTTAGGCGGGTTGGATATGGCGGAAGCACGCGTGCGGCTGACCTTCCAAGGCCGGGTCAGATGCGGCGCTGATCAGCTGGCTCGACTGCCGTGCTGAATGGCGCTGGTCTGGGGATGATTAGCTTTAAGATGTGTTATTTTTATGATTCAGTTTATACACTCACGCACACGCGCGCGCACACACACACACACACACACACACACACACACACACACACACACACACACACACACACACACACACACACACACATTAACACACACACACACACACACACACATTAACACACACACACACACACACACACACACACACACACACACACACACACACACACACACACACACACACACATTAACACACACATACACACACACACACACACACATATTAACACATTAACACACACACACACATACACACATTAACACACACACAGATTAACACACACACACATTAACACACACACATACATTAACACACACACACACACATTAACACACACACACACACATTAATACACACACACACACACACACACATACACACATTAACACACACACACACACACACACACACACACACACACACACACACACACACACACACACACACACACACACACACACACACACACACACACACATTAACACACACACACACACACACACACACACACACACACACACACACACACACACACACACACACACACACACACACACACACATACACACATTAACACACACCACACACACATACACACACACACACACACACACACACACACACACACACACACACACACACACACACACATATATATATATACATTCATGCATATATATATATATATATATATATATATATATATATATATATATATATATATATATATATATATATAATGTATAGAAAGAAATACACTAAATTAAAAACACATTTACATATGTATGTGTTCTACATGTATCTGCATCACGACTCTAATGTGCATTTTCTTTTCCCCAGATCTTCGGAAGCAAGGCCGACCTGCAGTTGCACACTCAGATCCACATGCGGGAAGCCAAGCCATACAAGTGTTCGCAGTGCTCCAAAGCCTTTGCCAACTCATCCTACTTGTCCCAGCACACTAGGATTCACTTGGGTATCAAACCCTACCGTTGCGAGATTTGCCAGCGCAAGTTCACACAGTTATCGCATCTGCAGCAGCACATCCGTACCCACACCGGGGACAAGCCCTACAAGTGCCGCCACCCGGGATGCAACAAGGCCTTCAGTCAGCTGTCCAACTTGCAGAGCCACTCCCGCTGCCATCAGACGGACAAACCCTACAAATGTAACTCGTGCTACAAGTGCTTCGTGGATGAGGCCTCTCTCCTGGAGCACATCCCCAAGCACAAGGAAAGCAAGCACCTCAAGACTCACATCTGTCAGTATTGCGGCAAGAGCTACACGCAGGAGACGTATTTGCAGAAGCACATGCAGAAGCATGCTGAGCGGGCAGACAAGAGGCCGCCCCTCTCTGGCCACGGCGTGCGACAGGAGAACCCATACTGGCCCAAGCCTGACACTACAGCTCTCGAGGCCATGGACGGCCGCATGTCGGAAGCGTGTCTTCAGGGCTCCCTCGATCCTTCCCGTCACTTAGGCCGCGACCACATTGATCCTCGTGCGGAGGAGATCCGCCACACTCCCGCCCACATGCCTGTCTCAAACATGTCCTACGACTCCCTTGCTACAAAGACGTCGTCGGCATTCACGCCCATCCAGACGAGTATGTTGCCCATCAGTGGTGGAACACAGCTGTCCATGGCGGCGTCATCATCACAGCGCTACTTCCCGTACGACCCCATCAGCTTCCCCAAGACGCACACACAAATGCCCTCCATGGACGTCAAGCCCAACCAGTTCCCCAACCAGCTCATCTCGCTCCATCAGATCCGCAACTACGCCCACCAACCCACTATGAACTCCGACTTGCTCCTGAAGGACAAGGGTGTTACTCAATAGTGTGTCGAGTGGACCGCGGGCCGCACCCAGGCTCCAATGTCGACTGAGAGTGGGCCGCATCAGGTGGCCCACGACTCAGGCGCTTCCCTACGGTGCAGGGGCCGCCGCGTGCGGACCATGCCGGTAGGAGGGGCTGAATACAGGGTATTGATGGCACGGGGCAAGGGCACGGGAGAGGGCGCCGCCTTGCAGCAGCAGTGGTCATGGCCGGTGCCCCCGAGTGAGGGCCCGGTGACGAGTTGTGATACGTGCCCGGTGATAGCTGGACGAGGTCTGTAAGACAAGTCGCCTGACTCTAAGGAACGCTCGCTTAGCAGGGAAACGTTAGTGTAAATGTGCAATAACCACACTAAACGCAAGAGTACACTCGTGTTGCAGGAACTGCTTCTCACGTCTGTTTGTTAGAAATGCCACTGTTGAGGACTGACCGAAACGGTTGCAGAGCTGTGAGGGACAGGAGAGGGTTTGGGGTCGAGTGGAGTGAGAGCGAGGTGGTAGTGTTAGTGGAGCTCTGCCCCCACCCCCATGTGTAGCACCAACGGCATCAAAAAGAAACAAACAGCAGCCAAGCGCTCTCCCGTACAAACCCACCAGAATACAGTTCACGTTCCTCTTCACTGTTATAGTGAGCAACTCTCCGATATCGTGATAGCTAAACAAGCAATACTGTTACTAGTTATGGTGCCTTCCACCATCCATCGAAACCCATAGATTCCCCCAACCATAATTTTACTTTAACCGTAGCACAAAACATCACTTTGTTTTATTTTAAATTGTATACGTGATTTTCTATGAAAATATTGTATTTTTCATCTGTTTCCCTGATCATCTTAGTACCTAACTTGTTTCTACCAAGCGTACTGACTTGCTCAGCACTGAAAGATGTTCAACAACCATCATGTTACAAAATTCTCCGGCCTTGGGGGACGATAGATTTGTGTAAGAGCTGACAAACAGGTCGCTGAGCAAGCCCGGACGCCCGTATCTTTCTTCTGTATGTCCTACCTCCAAAAAGAAAATAGACGGTTCCAGATGAAATTGTTTTAGATACATTGTAATGTTGGACCCAGTTGGCCCCTGTCTTCGGGTCCTTTGGCCCTGGCGTCTGTCAAGGCCACCCCTAGAGTCCTCCAGTGTTTGGACCAGGACTCCCACACCCTAAACCTCGTTGCCCACGCAAGACTGCCTCGCTTGTGTGCGGGCAGTACTAACCTCCTCCATCCAGGAAGTATACGATTATTTCTACGTCATGTCTTGTGTGTGTATTAAATAACGTCTGAAGTCTCTTGTAGTAGCAAGTTTCCCGTTTTGAAACAGATAATAAGGGTCTTAGGAAGAGCTTCTGGCAGACTCAATAACACGTGTCCTTAAAAGAATATAATTTCAAGTTTTTTGTATGAAGATTAGTATAATGTATTGACCAAGTAATTGTAAAAAGGTCTATTTGTGATGACTCTGTCATTCGGAAGACTGTAGATTTTCAAAGTGATTCTGGCCAGGGGTTCGCTTCATCATGCCCTTTTAATACAATTTTCAGACCTCACTTCAGTCGAATCTTAATAAAGGCAATCAGGGGCCAAGCATCAAAACTCCACATGTTACAGTATTCAGCACTTCTCTGTAATCTACATTCTTCCGCCAACATTCAAAACAGGTACTACACCTTGACTACTGTCTCTTACGGACACTACTACTTTTGTATGCCGCAAAAGTTCTGTATTATGCATGGGTAGAAGGTTAATGAAGAAGTACTCAGTAGCGAACATAGCTAGTATGACTTGTTACTCCGTTTCCTTTTGTACTTACGAATATAGGGAGTGAAATATTAGAATAACGTTGGTTCATTTTCTATATATTTGCATGGATAATAGAATGTAGCAACATCTTCTGTCGTATATAATATGAAAAAACGTGATGTTGATAGACAAAGGAGGTAAAAGGTGTCCGAATGGATGAATGAATGTGGGAAGATAATGTTCGAATTCTTTAAAAAAAAAAAAGTAGCTTAACACTGTTGTAAGCAGGGCCGCATTGAGGATACGTACTGAAAGAAGAAGCTGTTGACCCTCATTTTTTATATATATATATATACATATACATAAACTTACGCATCCATTTGGAGGGATTTGTAGTGACCTAACGAGTGATACTGTGTTTCTACAGATTCTCAGACGGCAACAATTCGTCGATGTTGAATGGCCTCATCTGGCAGGGATCTTGAATGTGGCTCTGAAACTGTCAGTTGTGAGTGATATTTTGTACAGTAGCCGCAGTAAAGTCCGACCTCCCCATATGATGTTACTGTGAGAGGAACTTAAACATCAAAATATGTTTGCTCAACATAGCGACTTGTTCGTTTTGGCACGTTAACAGATGTTTGTGTTATTGTTAATTCAGGTGTTGACTGTTATAAACGGCTCGTAAAAAAAGGTCACACTTATGGGGAATTCTCGTACTCAACACGACTCGTTTGGTTCATGCTAAGCTCGTCTGATTGTGTTCTGAAGTGGTGATTGTCGCGGCCGGGAGCGGAACCCATCAGAGTAGATTTCAGCGTGAACGAACAGCTTGTGCTCTCCACGACAATTCTCCTCCGGGACGCCTCCTCTGCGCTCTTGTCCAGAACCACGCGGGGGCGGCCACGAGGCTTCGCGAAAGCATTTGCTCGTTCAAAATTAAATGCATGCATACATACATACACACATACATACATACATACATACATACATACATACATACATACACACACACACACACACACACACACACACACACACACACACACACACACACACACACACACACACACACACACACACACACACACACATATTAACACACACACACACACACACATTAACACACACACACACGCACGCATATACGTACGTACATATGTGTGTGTGTGTGTGTGTGCCTGTTTGTCTGTCCACAAACACATGCACATGTATGTATGCATGTATTTGTGTTTGTGTGTATGTATGTATGTATGTAAGAATTTTTAAAAATCTAAATGTGTCAAGAATGATGTATGTAAATAGCCGTGAATGGAATTCTTCCTCTTCATCAATGTAGATTTCTTTGGAAAGACCACAGTGTTTTAGTCGCGGTGGAAACTCCGAGAAGAAACATTGCAGTGTGTTTCGACTTGGCCGAAGCCTCGTGCCTCCCCGGGTGTCTGGATTAGCAAGGCTCGCCCGCACATCCTCGCAGTGTGATTGAAGCTGCGTGCATGGCTTACCAAATCTTTCAAGAGCTCTTTGGTTAAGAATAAAAGGTCCTTAATTGATGTAAAAAGAAATCTTTTTTTCCTGCATCCTTGTCAATCTTTCTTTCTGTCCATTCCCCTCAGCTGAAACAACTGCGTCTTTGCTCTTTATTTTCTTGTCTTCCCCTTCCCCTCTGAACATCCCGATGTCTCCCCTTCCCCTCCCTCTTCGCTGACGAATGTCCGCGGTCTGGACAGCATGACCTGTTGGTCTGTGCGCGGGTCAGGAGTTGACCTTGCCGCTAAGGTCAAAAGCCCGACACGACGGTCTGTTCGCCAGACCCAAGAGCCGAGTCCGCCCGCCGGCCCGGGTCCTTCGCGGGATGCCGGCGCTCGCGCGGGGCGGCGAGGCTTGTGGCGGCGGACGGCGCGGCGCAAGACTCGATCCCTGACAACGCGGTCCTCAGTGTGGATGCCCTCGCGAGTGGCCGGTGCGGTTCCCCAGTGACGTTCATGTATCCAGCTTTGAGTCTGTTTATTCATTGATGTTTACCCCCTCCAAGACCTACGGAATTAATCGCGTGAGGAGAGAGTCTTTTTTAGGACGCTGAAGTTATATTTGTATTTTTTTTCTCTTTTTGTTACTGCCACATATGATTGGGAAATCAATTAGGCGCTTCTCAAGGTGTGATATTAGTAAGTTGGGTGACCCGGCGTGGTGCTTGAGCTGACCTTTGCATACCGTTAGTGGGTTCACCGGCCCCGCCCACTTGGTTCATCGTGGGCGGGCCCATCAACCCACTGCATGGCCGTAAGACTAGCTGCAAGCGCCAGGCCGTATCTCACTCTTCACAGTGTGTAACGCTGTCTAAATTGTGTAAGGTTAGCCCAGAGGCGTAGCGAACCCCAGCAGCCACCCCTTGCATCGCCGCCGTGGGCGTGGAGAAGAAGAGGGCGGCGGCGCATCGCGGGCGTGGGCGCTGGGCGGGGGGACACCATGGGACCCTGTGGTCACGCTGCTGACTCGTACAGTTGTCCGATGTTCCGGTGCGGATTTGATGAGGGCATCTGATGCCAAAAATGGAAGAAATGATAATCGCCTTGACTGTGCGCGAAAAAATTACGTAAGGATGAATTGGGCTTTCAATCTGTCACATTTGTATTGTGGATTGTTAAGAGTAGCTGCCCGATGGCTCCGTGCGGTATGTATATATGTGCAAGGCAAGTGTGAAGGGAAATCATGTTATCTTCATACGGTTAAATCACTCGACTATGTGTTGAAGAAATGAATATGCTATGGTGCTGCATTCGTGTTCCTGGTTGGTTATCATTTGTTATCCAGATGTTGCATTTTTTTTAGTACCATGTTTGCCGTTATTCCAAACATTTCCGTTATAGAGAAAGGAGAAGAACAGTCTCCTTTTTTATCGCCTGTTGAGAAAGATTTCAAATGGTTTTGTTACCTCTACTACGGTAGTGGAGCGTAGTACAAAGTAGGCAGAGTAAGATTAAGCTTAGAATATAACATGTTAATTGGTGGAAGGATCTTTCTCAATAAGCACGACAGACCCAGGATTTATTTACATTACAGAAGAGGTGGGTGGTACAGGGTCGACACTTTGACCTCCAGTATCCATGACACTTGATTAAGTAAGCAGGTCTCTTTCTGCGAGACAATTTTTACAGGGTATTTTATTCTATATTGACTCTGTAACCACCCTATAACTACCTCCAACCTCGTATATCTTGCTTATAATACGTGAATCCAACACAGTTAGTGTTGCCAGGGATCCTATTCCCATTTTCTGTAGTTATAGCCACTTTTTTGTTTATATATGTTTTCTTTGATTGCCCATCCTACCCCATGTCTCTCTCCCGCTTGGTCAATGCTTGTCTGCAATGAACGGATGGAAGTTGTTTCAAGCACATCACTTTGTAGGTAATATTTGTAGTGATAATAGGCTCTCTTTTCCTCTATCAAATTTGTGATAGCGCATCCTAGTAATATAAATAGTGTTATTTTAACGGGGGATGTTACAATGGAAGATAACCTTTGAATGCAGGGAAAAAAAACTGGGTTGCATTTCGATGCGTACCAAATGTACTGTAATATAGTAATATTGACCTTTTCTCTGTATTCCCAAAGGGCTTAATGGTTTAACTGTTGTAATGTCTCTACAATTATATTATTATTTGTCCAATCCTGTAAGAATTAACGATGTTCAGTTGTGTTAACTACACAGTAACATTTGTTTTCAAAGGCAAAGTTTGAGACTGAGTAGACCAAATAAATATATACAAAAAAGCCATGTAACCCAAAAAAGTGAATAGGGGCCTTTTAGTGCATAACATTAATAGTAATTGATATGTACAACGTCTAATCTTGACTGTAACATTGTGGAAGGAATTAGCAGTAGATTCAACACTGCAAAAGTACATGACTCTTGAAGCATGTGGCTGCATGCCGACTGGTGGTCATAGTGTCTACTTTTTATTGTTTCAATTTATTTTATGGTGTGATCGGGAGCATGGTTATTATTATTATCATTATTATCATCGTTATTATTATTATTAATTATTATTATTATTATTATTATTATTATTATTATTGTCTTTAGTTTGTTTGGTTATGTTTATTATTATTGTTATAATCATTATGTGTCCCAGATGTTTCACTTTTTGTTCATCGTATTTTCTACACCCATTATAATTTCTTCTAATTTTAATTTTGTGTTTTCTAGAATAATTAAAGTCACCCATGTATTTTCTTTTGTTTTATTTGCTTTTCCCCTCTTTTGTTTTCCAATAAGAACCAACTCAAAAGAAAGAAAAAGTTGCATTATGTTTTTGTTTGTTAAATAAAATGGTGCTGGGCTTTGAACTATGCATAGCCGAGTAGATTAGAGTGATGGTGGCGCTAAGTATGACGATGAACATGATATTATGGACAAAAGGAATTTAATATTTTGGTATACGCGGCTCTGTGATACGAGTGAGTGACTGCTCTGTAAAGCTGGCTAAGTTTGATCACCTAAATTGCACATAGAAACCCCCCTCCCCCTTTTTCAAAGAAGAAATACGAACAGACTCTTTAGCTGAAGATGTTATTGTAATCATTTCATATATTTTATACAAATATCATTTATAGAATGAAGTACCAAAATGGAGTTTGACCAAAGTTCCTATGATAGTGAATAATATTAAATGTCCTTCATTACCCCTCCCCCCTGAAAAAATACAACTTTGTAATTTGATAATGATTAAGGGTTAGACAATAAGCCTACTCATTATCCCACTGCCAATGTCATTAACAAAGCCTGGACCGCCCGGAGGTTGAACCGATTTTCTAACACCTGAACCGAATCGCCAGAAATGAACCGTTCAACCTCTGGGAGATCGGCGAACCACACCCTCGGCGGGGAAGAGGAAGCAGAGAACCAGCAGGGTGCAATGCTCCTCCTCCCACGCCTCCTCCCCCTCCCCCCTTCCCTCAAAGATTCCTTGGAGCAGGCGGTTCAAAACTCCAAAGGACAGACCAATCCCTGGCTACCAGTCGTGAAAACGGGGTGATATTTTTTTCTTTGTATAATACAAAACTACTTGTCTAGGATCAATTTAAACTGCGTAGAGATATTAGAAAAAATATCACTCATCTTGAACAGGGTTTCTATCCTCATCCTCTTCCTCCAAGGAATCTGAATTTATTATTACATATATCCTAACCGAGAGGCAGAAGGAGTGGATTCTAAAGCAATTCCTCAATAAAAAAGAATTTTAAAAGACTGCATTCGACGACAGATGATGTCCTTGTCTTCTCCATAGATGTTCGGAACATGAAAATACATATGTGTATTTGACACCACCCGATGGCTTACAAGTATCGAACAAAGATGCTTAGTAAGCCTGAAACCCTTAAGTAAGACTCGTGAGTTCTCGATTTGTTTATTTGAACCACCTTGCAATGCAATGAGTGCGGCCAAACGCTCACAACTGACACGTGCATCACTAAGATACGAACACAATTCTTTTTTCTAATCTCATACGAACTAAATTCCCCCCAAAGAGGGAGAAAAAAAAAACGTTGATGGTGCATCGTTTGGTTTTGAGTGTTAGGTGAGAGTGTAGGAAATACGATGATTTCTGTGTCATTTATGCTACCATGAGGATAACCCGTTGTCAAGCCCCGAATGCCCAAAATCAGTCCCAAGATGGTGCTCTGACTGTTAGCAATCCATTTGTAGATATGGAGTCCCCAAGACGAAGGTTGTGGTCACAGACGAGAGAGAGTGGAATATGAGACATGGTTGTTTGTACTTTGGGAATTCGGAGCTAATACTCAAAACTGTATATAAATTATGTATATGGATGTGTTTGTTTGTATGCATGTGCATGTGTATTATATACATACATATATGCATTTGAACATACACACAAATATATGTACAACTTCATACACAAACACAATAAAATATACAACACTTATATTCACACTCATTACACACACACACATACACAAGTAAACTCACACTCACACGCACATGTACACGCACACGCACGCACACACACATTTACATGTACAAATATATGTTGATCTACATACATACAGAAAGACTTGTCTGAGAAATCGATCATCCTTTTCTGCAATATGCAACAAACCGAAACCCAGTGGTTATTCAATTGGCTCATTCAAGTGAGGTTAAATCAATTCTAAACAATGTCACTCAAATATATTGCAAAGGTGTGAAGAAGCAGTTTAAGGATAATCGATTTCTAAGACATAACTCAGAGTCTAGCCTTATAATCAGTATCTGAGGGTTATGCCATGGCCCGACATGTGAAAAAAAGAGTGAAAGGGTGTGAAATTACGAGAAAAATCATAATATAGTATAAGTGGACCCCGTTTTCTGTTAGACATGAGTCTCCACTTCGCTCTTCTGCAGTGAGGCCGCAATACAGGCCGTGTTGACAAAAGCTTGAGGTCCAACACCTACCTGGTGACCCTTCCCACTACCTTCAAAGTTACGGAGCACAAAAACACAGGTGAAGTGTGTACCCCAGCATCATAAAACTGGATAAAACAGACAAATGATATCCATAAATACAAGAAGAAAATAAAAAAAGTGCGAAGCGTTTCCCCAGGGAGGCCAAAAAAAAGGACCTTAACATCGACCTCTGTATCGCGGCTTCACTTTGACATAGATCCAGAGGATGTCTTAGTCCCCCGAAATACTTGTCTACAGAGGCCCATTCCCAGTAGATGGTAGTGACGTTTTTCTCACACTATCTTAGAGGTGTTGATTTGTGTTCTTTGTTGTTTAGCAGTGATTAATATTGTCCTTATAGGGAACTATTTTGTAAGTATATCTTATGATTTTTTTTTCAATGCGTTGGGTTTAAGATACAATATTTCGGTAGACTATTGAAGATTACTGAATATCTGTAAACATATGTTGCTTCTAATAAATTCTAAACCAATGAATTCTTTCACTTCATACCCAAAAAATTCTTAGGAGTCATACACTAGTTAATGATTTTGGCACCTAAAATGCCAACACATCGGTCATACTAAAGACGGAACAAAATTAGCTGTTGAACAGCTAAAATATCTGAAATTATAAAATATCATGTGTGACGACAGAAACGCAACACGAGAAAACTAGTATGTTTACAAATAAATCATAATATATAGTCTATCAATTTCTGCCTTGACATTATAGGTTTCAACTTAAAGGGTATCTTTAATAAAAACAGCATTTGTAGTAATTCAGATAATGAAAAATAAAGTAAAATACAAATCAAAAGACAAGTAATAAAAAAAATCTGAACAAAAACAATAATTCCAGAAAATGAGCATTAATTCGTCCTGAATTGCTCTAATGATGAAGAATCTTTCATTCTCTCTTTTTATCGACATTTCCTCGTGTTACAACTGTTTCCTCTCAAGTCGATACAAAGCCAACAGAGTTTACAAGCTATTACATCATGATGAACACATTTAAGTGCTGATCGGCGTCGGATCTTAACAAAGCGCCATTACACCCTGAAAGAGCAGGGGTTATCTGTGAGATATCTGAGCTACTGACCTGTAATATCCAGTCTCAGGATATATAATCAAGAATCACGAACTCGAATGCGTCTTGTGTCTTGAGCCATCAATACTACTGCCTCCTTAATCACCACTCTCTCAATATACCTGGGAATACCACCTGTTATATCCATTTCCTCGCGTTGGAAGGCATAGGGGGGAGCGGGTATGAGGAACAAGGAGGCGGATGGGGTTTATGAGGGTGTAGGTGAGAAAGAATGAGTGTGTTGGATGGAGGGGGGGGGGCACGGTGGGCGTGATGAAGAAGAAAGGATGGGTAGGTGGAGGGGGGAGTTCCATGAAAATGATCACGCAAAAAAAAGAAAAAAAAAAAAGATTCAAGGAGGAACTGCCACTGTATGAGGACCTGTGAAAAATGGTTTCAGGGAGAAAGAATGCACTTTTATTTCAATTTTTTTCTTAAGTATATTCAATGCAAACCCAACGAGATTACTGGTTATTACAGGTAAGACCGGTAAGCGGGAGAGCATAATGCAAGAGAAAGAATAATTAGGCAGTAAGTGAATAATAAAAAAGTGGGAGAATATAAAGCGGTCTTCTTAAAACTCCAAAGAAAATAGAGCCATGTATCATAACTTTACTGATACGAACTGTCTGCAAAAAGGTATTGAAGTAAATGAATAGTTAGACCTCGTGAGACTCCTGCCCATTTTTAACGAAAGGAAGAAAATGGGAAGAGAGAATGGGATTAAAAGACGAAGACCGTTCTCTCTACACACTAATCGATGCGTCGGTCAACAGCAGCGCATAAGGCAGGGTGTTCGGCTGACGAAAGACGCGTCTCAGTTGGTTGCGCTGAGGCCTGGTTGATAAAAAAACATTTACACACACCGAATTGCATACAATATATATTATATGTATATGTATACATATATATATATATATATATATATATATATATATATATATATATATATATATATATAACTGTGTATGTATATGTAAGTATATATATACATGTACATATATTTTTTTTATATATATATAAGAAAAAAATATATGTAAATATATGTATATATATCAGATATATTATTTTATATGACAGTAACATTTTAGAAATTATAATGTTTTTAATAAAAATAACACCATCGATATTCATAGCACTAGAAAAAAAAGAAAGGTGAAATCAGCTAAGGTCAAAAGGTCTACTAATTCACACCTTTGCACAGCCATCTATGTGAAGACATTTCACAAAAAAATCTAAAATGGGCACAGCATTTTCCCGGCGACATTGATATATATATATATATATATATATATATATATATATATATATATATATATATATATATATATATATATATATATATATATATGTATATATATACACACACACACACACACAACACACACACACGTACATACACATATGTGTGTGTATATATATATATATATATATATATATATATATATATATATATATATATATACATATATATATATATATATATATATATATATATATATATATATATATATATATATATATAAACATATATATATTATGAATATATATAAACATATATATATTATGAATATATATATACATATTTATATATAATATATATACATATACTTATATATATATGTATATATATGTATATATATGTATATATATATATATATATATATATATATATATATATATATATATATAT